ACTGTTGGCACAAGCTACATTAAAGTGATTATTACGTTTTAAATATGGTTATTTTTCTTACAAAAACGCATCGATTCGCTACAGGAGGCCTTTGTTCACCCCCCGGAGCCGTGTGAGACACTCTTTTTTTATGGATGGATTTGCTTTTTATTTAACTTCTTTTGGACTGATGCATGCAACACCCGCTGAGTGGCATTAAACAGCTTGAAAGATCAAAGACAATTTGTAATATAACTCCAACTGGATTTGTCTGAAAGAAGAAAGTCATATACACCTAGGATGACTTGAGGGTGAGTAATTTATGGGCTAATTTTCATTTTTGGGGGAACTAACCCTTTAAGAATTGTCATTTGGGGCACTGACCATGCCAACGACAATGAACAGTTTAATTATAAGAAAATGTCAGGGACTAGCAATAGGAGTGCCAACAGTAAAGCTCACATTTACCACCAGGATACTGCAGGCAAGTATGAACACCTGTTAGCAACCAACAGCTCAGCATCCTGGCAACCTTCAGCAATTAAATTTCTGTGTGCAAAATTCTGTTTCTTGATGTGGAGCATTGTGCTTAGTCTTGTTTGACCTTGAAGTTGATGAGCAAAGCTTTAAAATGTATATTGAGTAGAGTGAGTAGATAATGTTTGAACAGATTCTTGGCTGGATTTGTCTGTTTTCATACACGCTAACAAGGCTAAATTTATAAACAAGACTCGCACAGATCTCACTGAAGACTAATTTACTGTGGATATTGATTTGAACTACTCAAAGGTGAGGATTTAGAAGTTGCCAGCAGTTCTGTCATGAAATATTAAAAAGCCAGTTTGAGCTATTAATTAAGATTGATATTAGGCCTGACAGCATTTACACAAATAATAATCGAAGCGTAATCAGTCTTGATTTTTGACCTATAACTTTTCTGTACAACTGTACCACCTGAAAGTTTGGTTTTAGTTGCCTCAATATAACAAATAACATCTCTGATAACAGTGAAGAACTGCAGTCAGCTGTTGCATGACTCAGCCATTATGATCTCCAGTCTGTCTCTGGCTGCGTCCCATATAACACATCTAATTTGCGCTCCTTCCAAATATGAAACAGGAAAATGAATTGGTTTACGAGATGGAGGTCATCCAGGTCTCTGGAGTTTACCGCTCATGCTCCTTGTAAACCACCCCACTACAAATGAATTTCTACAGTAAGCAGTACCGATATTACATGGATGATTTCATTCATTAGTCTCAAATTGGCTTACCAAGAACTCCCTTCTTTACGCTCCCAGAGCTGATGTGAGGTGGTATTAAAAACATGGTACATCTGTCGGCCCAATTTAATACTTCCTTCAGTGCTTTCAAAGGGGAACTCCAAAGAGTTTAGGCTCGGCGGAGCTCGCCACATGATTACAGACCTGCTGGCGGAGCAGGAGGAGATGCTGCTGTTTTCAAGCTGTCATCTAGAGACATGATGTAAATTAGCTCACGGTTTCCCTCCATCATTACCCTGTACATATACATCCGCATTGCCCGCACTTCCTGTGCTGTATGGTTTGACCCTTTTGCTCTTTCTCCAATTGAATCTGGAAAATGCATTTGCAGCAGCAGACGGAGCGGAAAATGGGTTTACCCGTGACTCCCAAGCACTAAGTGGAATTTTATTTGTTTTCTTTAACCAGTGAATGTTTTTTTTTTTTTTTGTGCATATGCATTGTGATCATTGTTATTCTTCTATAATGTTCTTTCCCATTTGTGTTACAACTCATCTCATATAGTCATCAAAAATGATCACAGAATTGCAAATCTCATATCTGTATGTGCTGTCGGCCATGTTATGTTTGATTTCTGCCGCCGTCCTGCCCCATTGTGCTACACGTTTAATTTGGACAAAGCATCGTGTGGCTAATAGAAAGGGGAAATTTAAATGCCAAGTCTTTACAGGAACAGACTGTGGAGGGTAAATTGTTATTTCAGCACTGAGGGAGGAGAGAGATTTTCGAGCGGAGAATCAGATCTGCTTAAAAAGAAGAGGAAAAAAGAAAATAATGAAAAAAGAAATTGAGAGAGAATGGAACAATGAGAGAAAGTTAGGCTTATCTGTCCGCAGCAGCAGGCTTGAGCACACAGCGTAACGGCACGTCGTTGTTTGCTCCGGAGACCTGCCGGGGTTTAAGTGATATCAGCTGTCTCAGGGTCAGAGTTCCAATGGTTTTTTTTGTGGCGATTTTCCAAATCCCTAAAAGAGCCGGTATGGCAAGATAGAAGCACTGCCAAGAAAGGACCAGTGAACAGATACAGTGGCAAGACAATGTCTTTTCTTGTGGTCTCAGAGTTGTTGTGGTGTCAACAGATTGTGTGTCAACATTATCTGTGATTGTGTGGACAGAACTGCACTGTGGGTGTGTCTCTAGAAGAAATTGCAGTCTCTAGATGAAATTGTTTCCAAGTCTACAGCAAAACTTAAGTGAAGTGAAAACTGTCACCTGGGAATTAAAAGACACATTCTAACATCAATAATCAGCCCCCGTGTTAGCCGTGTCACTATCAGTTGTTATATAGACATCCTGAAACTTCAGCAAATGTCACAATTCAAATGTAAATGTATATTAGGATTAGCAACCCTTAAAACAAATACCGTAGTATTACCATAAAATATACCATAGACAAAAAAACAAAAAACAAAAATGCTGTGATAGCATCAGATGACATTATCATGGTACTGTACCATGGTACCATGGCTGTGAAATGCATTTATTTTTATTTATTTACATTTCATTTTACTTTATATTTTATTTTTTTTTATTTCTATTTTATAACCATAAAATATACTACCATCCCTTACAAAAAACAAACAAACAAAAAAAAACATGGTAAAGTGATAGTATCTGATGCAGGTATCATGGTACTATGATACCATCGCAGTGAAATTATTTTCTTTTCTTTTGCAAAAAATAGCATAGTATAACCACAAAATTTACTCTAAACAGCTCCTCTATAAAAAAAAATACTATAAAAAAACTACTATAAAAAAAAAACTACCATGTCAGAGTGATGGTATTAGATTGGTATTATAGTACTTTGATACCATGTTAGTGAAATTCATGTACCTTGATTTGATTTGATTATTTTATGCCATGGTTTCATATTAGCTGAGTAGGAAAAGAGTAATTAAAATTTGAATGTATATTACGAATTAATTATTTCTAATTTGAAAGAAATCGATTGCTTACAGTTAGTATGGCTTGGTAAAAGACATATTGTCGCAATTATTCTTTGTCTATATGTAACAATTTCTTCTCAGGTGGGGCGGGCCGCTTGAGAACGAGAGCGAGGCTATCTGTGCACACAGTCATTACCACATTCAAAACACTGTACTTGAGCACTCTGCTTTCTTGCACAATGTGATTCCAGCTCTGCGATGAGGCAATTACACGAGCAGACAGTTATTCTTCCTCTCGCAGCACGAATAGATTCAGTTCTAAAAGCACACCGTGTCCTGTATATTACTGCTCCGGGGTTGGGGGGCCCGGCCTGCTGGGTGAAATTTATAGCAATGATAGCTTGTTGAGATGCAGGCGGAAAAAAGAAAGTAATTTGTGTATTTTCGCAGCCACTGATTCTGCCTTCTGTGTCTTGTTTCTTTCAGGAGAGATCTGTGCATTTAAAATTCATGGGCAGGAGGCCCCATTTGAGGCTGAGGTGTTGAACAGGACATCTGGTGAAGGTGTGCTGAGGGCCCGGGGTCCCATAGACTGCGAGCAGCAGAAGGAGTACACCTTCATCATCCAGGCCTACGACTGTGGAGCCAGCCCAAGTGGAGCCAACTGGAAAAAGAGCCACAAGTAAGTAGAGAGACTTTGGTTGATCCTGTTTGGTGTAGTTTAGTTCAGCTGCTTCAAACTGAAGTCCACTGATGGTCTGTGAAGGATCTGCAAGTTGATTGACTGTTTTTCTTTTATGTTGTTTTTGTTTTTGTAAAAAAAAAAAAAAAGGCCTAAATAAAATAATTACATGAGAAGTACCAGGATTTAATTTGACTAATTAACTCATGACAATTATTTTAACTGATTAAACAAATTTATGAAAGACTCAAGACTCTTAAAAAGATATCAAGTCAATGACATTCGGGGTGTTATGTGGTCCACAATTTTTGTTTTACTCTTGAAGTGGTAGGTCACCTGGAAAATTTTGGTCTAGTGGTTCAAGTAGCCTGCTGTTGGTCATTTTGGATAAATTTACAAGACTCTTAGTAGAAGTTGCAATTTACAAGCAAGAGGAGCAATAGTCTCTGTGATGTGGACTGTGTAAGTTAAGGGACTGGCGTTCTGCTGTGCAAATGATCCATTTGTTTAATTCATCATCTCATTATTGAATTTCAAAGCAGAATGAAGCTTTGCCACATTTGTGGAAGCTTTTGAGGCAGAAGAGTCATGAGGAAACCAACTGCTGTGCTGACAGCTTACCAGCTTAAACCATTATGTTTAATTTGGAGTAATTTTGTGGTTGTTATTTTTTTATGTATTTTATTTATTTTTTTATTAATGTGATATTCCAAAGTACTTTAAAGAATCCCTCACGCAGAAACATGCATCTTGTTGCTATGAGACACATGACAAATAAAAGCAATGTTTGTTCTAAAATCGGCATAAAACATAAAATGGAATCATAGTCTGTGCCTATCATACATTACACGATTTTCTGCTAAATCTGTCAACTCCCGATTGTTCAAAATCTGAGACTGGCTCTGACTTTCAGCAGCTAGAGTTGACTCGTCCAGATTACAATTCGTCAACAGAATGTGGTGTATTCTAACCTTTAGTTTTTACTATATGTTATGAATCATCTTTATATATTATGAAAAAAATCTAATAATTTTGCCTGACTGCTGTTTTCTTCCATATTTCATTGAAAATAATAAGGTGTAATAAGGTAATGAAGTGATTATTTGCTAGCTGAAGTGTTGGTCTGAACACTCACTTACACTGACTGATTGAAGTGAGACAACAGAAACACTAGCACAAAGCACAATCAGTTAATTCATTTTTATGAGCTGATTAATCAGTTGATTAATTCATTGTTGGTGCTCTTTGTTAATTATAATTATTTTGTTTATGTAGATTTATTTTATTATTATAATTATTATTATTATTTAAATCAGCCAGTAAAGCACTAGAACAGTTGAAGTTTTAACTATAAAGATAACTATAATGACACCTATATAGCGTCCACACCAACGGACGATAATGTTCTGTTTATTATGAATGCAAGCTGCAGTTATGTCACCTGCCAATGTAAATGCTCGAGCTCTTTAAAGTCGGGTGGATTCTGATTGGCTGTCAGTGTTTTTAGCATTCATCAGTTGGAGAAAATCGTTCCAATAATGGAAATTACCATTATAGGTGTGGTGTGGACTTTGCTATTCTCATACAATTAGAATGATTACTAAAACGTTATAGTTATTATAGTTATCATCCTTGCTGTGAACTGTGGTGAAGTTTATACTTGTCACCTCAAATCTCAAATCAGAGTGAAGCTTTCTTTTGCTCTCTCTCTCTTTCCCTGGTTCTTTTTTCTCTCCAGGATATGAGTTGGCTACAGACACACATAAACACTCATATGCTTGCACACATTTCTACACACCCAGCCCTGGCTGGCCCTGCATTGATGACCCATCAAGATGTTTACAAAGTTGCCGGAAGCTCCGTACGTGCCCGACAATCTCTCTTACAATAGCAGCTCGCTGCAGCTGAAACACAGCTCTGATGAAGTGCAGGAGAGAGCCGCGCTTCAGGCACCCACTGCTGTGAGAGAGAGAGATGAAGAAGTGCTTTTGATTTCACAGCTTGGGTCGTTCTGATGAATGTCTCTTGACACTGTGATACTAAAGGGGTGTATTCGAACGCGTGCATGCAAGAGAGATCGCCGAGTACAGGATCTCAGCGGGATAATCTAAATGCAGGTCCCATTAACTTAATGTCTTCATTTAGGAAGATGTACAACAGCACGTGAATTTATGTTTCTGTCAAAGAAGGTCACATTTGGTTTGACTGAACGGCAGACTTCTTTAAGATTTTATGTGAGCTCTGTGTACCACAATGCAACTTTCTCAGCTCTTTTTCAGGCTAGTTACCATACAAATGATTTGGGGTTGGAAAGGAGGGACATGTCCATTATATTTTGTTTTCTACATTTATTTTCAGTATGCCGATGCGTATTGTTTCGACACCTAGTGGCAAAAGCAAATGTTCACAGTTGTTCAAGAGGAGGAGAACCGCTCCATGTACAATAAATAGATTTAAATAGGCAATGAACATGACTGCAATCTTCATTTCATGTGTGATGTGATCAATTTCTTAAATAAAATGATTTAAATAAAATTGACATTTAAAAAAAAAGATTACAACATGGGTTATGTATGTGTATATGTACAGTATAATTGCATTTGTGTAGTTTGGCTAATTAAAAAAATTCTCAAGTTAAATCTTAACCTGCACCCTCAGCCTACATTCTCAGATATTCATTTGTTTTTCATTGTGAATGGTCAGATTCATTCTAAATGAAATGCATTACTTAGCAATGATTGTATTTGCAGACATATTGCAGGCAAAGCTTCATCTGTGTTTGTGTCGGTTTGCCGAATGCAGCTTGATAAACAGCTTAATGTTTGATGAGTAATTTCATTGTGATGAAACATCAGGTAGGTAAACCAAGCCATCTATTTTGCCTGCTGCACCTCAGAGTAGTATTGTTATCAAGTAAACATATTAAAAATCCTTTACCAGGAAATTTTTGCAGCCATTTTTGCAATTTATTGGTGGGTTTTTATGGATGTTTTGATTAGTTTTCCACTTTTTGCTCTTTGGTAATTTCCGTGGTACAGACTGCTTTTTTTCTTTCATGTGACACTAACATTTTTTTCCTCAACGTAAATATTTACAGTCAGTCCACCCTTGTGTGGTTTCAGTACAGTGCTCAGAGATGAACTACTTTCTGTCTTCGTTAATTTCTCTAACGTGTAAAGCTATTTGCAATTCAGTCGCACAGTTCAGAGGTGTAATATCTGTGTCTCAGGTCTATTAGCACCTCTGTTCTATAAAATTAACAACTCTTCTGTTCCTCACCCTGATTGGTTGTTCTCTGTCTGTCCCTCTGGTTCTGTTGCAGGGCGGTGGTTCATATCCAGGTGGATGATGTAAATGAGTTCTCCCCAGTGTTCAGGGAGCCTTTATACCGTGCCACTGTTACTGAGGGCAAGATCTATGACAGCATTCTGCAAGTTGAGGCCTGGGATCAGGACTGCTCTCCGCAGTACAGCCAAATCTGCAACTATGAGATCGTTACACAGGATACACCTTTTGCTATTGATCGAAATGGTAAGTCTTAGATTCAGACATGTGTGAAAGTACACAGAAGTTGTATGTACCATAAAGTGTGCATTCTGTGTCAAAATTAGTAGAAGTAGAATTTTTTATTTAATTTCCTCAGACACAATTATCTTGACTAAAGTCTTTACAGCGTACTAGATTCAGGTAAACAGAAATGTACACTTCTGGTGTCAAAAAGTATGCATAGTATGTATTAATATTATAATATTGTTTTTGATCAAGTTAATACAGCCTTGATGAGCGTAAATGACTTTCAAAAACAATTTTTTTTATTTTTTTTGCATTGAATAGAGTGAATGTTGATCTAGTTCGCCAATCATTAACAATGGTTATAATTAAATATAATTTATATTTAAAGAAAACTACTTCCGGTCTATAAATATAAGGTATATCTTTTATTTTAGGCCTTCAAAGTAAAGAGTAAGACATAAAATTAGGTTTGTTTGATTTTGTTCTTTTAACATGTTTTTTTTTTAGTAAGAGAACTTTTGCACGACATTCTAATTTATTGAGATGCACCTGTATATGTTCAATATTACTTGTTACAAAATCCCCAAAATATTACTTGAGTAGCAATTCTTGATGTACTTTCCACACCAGTTCTGTTGTTGCTGGTCTGTCTTACTTTCTACCTGTCTTTCTCACTGTTATTTTCATTGCATGAATAGTGTGAAATTGATAAAGACAAACAAATAATTTTCTCACTTTTGTACTTCACCTGTGAATTCTCTCTTGGGTGAAGATGATTGAATTTGAGTTGTTTTAGCTTCCGTTTTCTGTATTCATCATTCACGAGTGCAGAATTGATGTCTTATTTGGTTATCGTTGAATGCGTGAGTGAATTAAATGGCTCATTGGTCAGCTGGATGGTCAGAGCTCCAATCTTTGACACTTCCGGACACGTCAGAGATGACTCTGAGGTGCTGGGGCGACCGGAGCTCACGGATCACATCGCCACGGTGCCGCAGATCAGACACCCGTCTCTCCACTGTGGCTGTCTGCCTCCCTCTCATGTTCTCTGGTGGGATGTCAGCTGTCTCAAAGTGCTGCGGTCTCTTTTAGGGGCTCACGTCGAACTCAGAGCTCCTGTCTCATTGACTTCCTCTTGCCGCTTTGGGCCTTGCCAGCGTCTGCAGTGCGACTGGCATTGACATTGCTTGGTTAGTGCCAGGAGTGATGCATGAGCCACCCAGGTGGATTTTGTTCTGAGGGCTTTTGGCTCCATCATTTACTGTGGATCAGAGGGCAGAGTGAGTTATTAAATACAACAGGCCCACTGGCACTGTGTTCTCTGGTCCAGAGAGAGGAGGAAGGGACGATAGAGAATGAGATCAGGAGAGAGATAGGAAAACTACAGTGAGAATGCTAAATAGTTTGAGTACAGAAACATGCTCTAATGACGTTAGGTAGGAGGGAGGGAGGTTGGTTTGTGTTGGTGGCGGTACCACATGATTCATTTTGAAACCTGAGGTAATTTACTAAAGATCTTCTACGAGATTTCAAAACCCTCGTTTTTGTGCACCCAAGAACGTTGTTTCAAGCATAGAGACACAAAGAGACAATATTTGACACATCCATTTTATTTGAATGGAATTTGTTGAGAGAAAAGGAGAGTGATAGATACGAATAGGAAGATAGACAGAAATAATAAAAACAGAAAAAGAGTGGGAATGTGAAAAATAAGAGATATCAGGGGGTTTAAGATTGAATTTACACCATCAGCAGCATTAAAATGCTGGAGGCCATTAAATGTGTGTTCTTTGTTCTTTATGCTTTTATTCTGAAAGAACAGAAATTCAAACACACGCTGAGGCGCATGCTTAAAGTTTCAGTCAGAAGTGTCATGCCTATTCAAACTGAGGCACGCGCCCCCTCAGATTTATGATATTATGATAATTATGGTGCGTGATTTATTTTAGATAAAGAAAAGTGTGACAGAATTCACTTGTCTAAACTATCTAAATCATTCCCATCTAATTGTACATTTCACATATTATTTGATTTTAACAGAAAATTCTATTAGCAATCCACATGACTTTTTTACTGTGGAACACAAAAGTAGACCTTTCAAAGCATGTTTAAACCATTTTTGCCTATACAATAAAAGTTTATGGGGTTCAAAACAACATTGGACCCCATTAACTTTCATTGTATGGATAAAAACATTGAGGGTTATTTCAAAATATAATTTTTGTTCCACAAAAGAGAGCCATAAAAGTTTGATTACATAAGAGTGAGTAAATGACAGTTTTCATTTGTCATTTTTAAGTTTTGGGTAAACTACTATATACCTTTAAACTGCTCTTTTCATTCAGCAGAATGCATGGTGATCTACGTGACTGCTGAGCTGTAATTTTGCTTGGTTTATGAAAAAATTGATATTAATACATTAATTCAATAAAATATCATTCATATATTAAAAGAAGGGATTTGAACCTAGAAATTTTACAGTTTAATACTTGTAATTTAGAGGCAGGGTTAGCACTGCTTTTTACCCGGGGTTATGAAACCCTGCTCTGGAGAACCACTTTTGCACTGTTAACCCTGAATTGTGCTGCCAGACTTATACAGTGAGAAACGATACGGTGTTTGAATATTGTTGCTTGATGCTTTGCAACAGACAACCAATGATGTGCCTCATATTCACATGCCTTTGGACATTCACAGCAACACAGCACATTGTATAAACAGTCGTTTCATCATTTAAGAGCAAACATGTTAAATAGTGACAGAAAACATGTCAACTGGAATGAAGAAGAGACTATTTTATTCTTATTTTTATAGTCCGAAATGTCCTTTCAGGAAAAATTTGTCAGCAATGTATACAAGGCTGTGTAAACGGGTCACATGCTGCAATTGTCCAATCAACTGACACCACAAATATGCAAATAAAAACATTAACCCGGGGTTTAGGCATGTACAGCATGAAACATCAGTTTATGAATGGCCAGGATTAAATTTTAACCCCGGGTAAATTATGAGCAACGCGTCACATGAAGCATTCTGTTTACCCAGGGTTTAGAATGACCCAGGGGTAACTATTTCAAGTGTGAAAAGCCCTCAAGTGACCCAGGACAGCCCTTTGTGACCCCTAAAAAAAAAAAAAAATTCCATGATGCCCCAGTTTGAACTGCACATGTAAAAACGTAGGCAAGTTAAGGGTCTCACACACTTGCATTCACCGTCTCGCTCTCTTTTTCTCATATTCTGTTGTCATACTCTTGTTTTTATCTGTGCTGCACAGACAGAGGCCCATTGATAACTCCCTGGAGGAGAACTGTTCCTTTTAAAACTCCACTGCTCTTAATCACGCCGCCTGACTTTAGCTGCTGTAATCAGCTCTAACAACTGTTTTACACACACACACACACACACACACGCACACATACACGCACACACACACACACACCCCTCCTCCTTCCTCCCACGTACCTGTGTTTGTTGAAGTATGGCTTTGAGGGTTTTTCAAGCCACACTTTAGCTTTGTGGCTCTGAGGATTGATGCAGACTTGGTCTGGGAGCCCAGAGCGACTGACCTCTATTCCTCATTGCTGTCTCCTTGACAGCACGGCTGATCTCATTGAAATGCAGCCAGCAGGTAAAAATAACTACAGGCCCACAGACGTGCGAGAGCATCAAATCACTAGCTGCTAGTTCAGCCTCATATGAACTCTGTCACCATGGAGTGCATTTGGACTCATCGCCATACACCAAACATCAGCCTCAAAGCCGCCTAAAGCAACTGTGGGCACTAAATGCTAAATTACACACATCAGCCCTGTGACAAAAGGCACTCATTACTCAAATGACAGGTACCTGGTAGAGGATCCATGTCATTATGGTTCTTTAACCTGGAGCTCTGCAAGTGTACAGTCTGTGGTTTACTGACTTTTTTTTCAACCAACAGTGCCAGTCTGGCACTTCTTGAGCTGCTGACCAGGAAGAATACTCATCTCTAAAAAAGCTTCTAGAGCATGGTCTGGCTTTTCAGAATGTACCTTTAACTCTTGGCTGATGAAGAATGACTCATACAACAATGTCAGATCTGTACATCGTGTCTGTACAAAGGTTCGTGTTGGTAGTAATTGATTGTGTTATATATGTCTTTATTGAAGGAAAGTGCATCCTACTTAGTGGAAGCAGAACCGGCTTCCAAGTATATATAACATGTTTGTTCGTTACTGTACATCAGCGCAATAGTTTGTGGGTGTCTCGCTTGCTCAGCGCGTGATCTAAAACATAGTGTTTTAATCAAAAGCTGATCAAGAGTTGATCAAGAGCTTTTCTTACCAGTTAGCACTATGCCAAACTGTTAGCTTCATGTGTCATTTGACTACTTTTATCTTCAGTAATATCATGTGAACACTATCGTGTGACTGTTTAAAAGTTTTGGCTCTGTAAGACTTTTTAAATATATATATTTCAAATAAGTGCTGTTCTTGTGAACTTTTCTATTCATCAAGAAACCTGAAAAAAAGTGTCATGGTTTTCACAAAAATATTAAGCAGCAACTCTTTTCAACATTGATGATATAATAATAAATGTTTATTATGCACCAAATCAGCTAATTAGAATGAAGGATCATGTGACACTTAAGACTGGAGAAATGGCGGCTGAAAATTCAGCTTTGCCATAAATGGGAATAAATTACATTTAATATATTTTGAATTGCAATAATATTTTACAATATTACTATTTTATTGTATTTTTTGATCAAATAAATGCAGCCTTGGTGAGCATAAGAGACTTAAAACATCAGAAAATAATACCAACACTAATCTTTAGAATAGTAGTGTAGAGCAGTATTCATTGATTTTTAATCAGTACCCATAAAAGTTGGAATGCTTTGTAGAAAAGGTGGATACAATTTTCAGTGACACCAGAAATACAAATCCCATTTGCTTTCTCCATAAAAGAACAGAAGAACATTCAAAGTACAAATTCAACATTTGTAGTTTTATTAGCCATATGTCCCACTTACATAATTCTATTAGCCATGAATGCAGATAATAAACCATTATAAAGCCTTGTGAAATGCAAAATATAGAGATTAGCTATAATTGTATATATCCTAATTAGCAGTACTAGAAACAGTCTTGCAGATATAATCCGTAATTGCTGAAACAGGGACACTTGGACTGTTGAAATTACTTTTGTGATTGAAAACATTTGGCCAGAGCCATTGTAAGGGACCTTAATTATTTTTTAAAACCATATGTTGGTGTAGTATCTCAGTCTGGCAGCTGCAACAATTACAAATTGTTCTCTTAAGTTTTACTTTCCACATTCCACTTAGTGAGTCTTTAATTTTATTTGCAAATTGTCTCACATATAATGGGTTTGTTTTTCTCTCTTACATTTATTCTTCTCTCCAGGCAACATCAGGAACACGGAGCGACTGAGCTATGACAAACAGCAGCACTACAAAATCATGGTGACCGCTTACGATTGTGGCCAGAAAAGGGCGACAGAAAGTGTCTCTGTTCACACTGACGTCAAACCAGTGTGCAAGCCTGGCTGGCAGGGTCAGTGGATACCTCACACTGTTGCCTTAACTTTTACTGTTGCTCCATTCCTGGCTTCCTATATTTCAAATTAGCTGCTTATTCTGATCAAATTTTTTGCAAGCAGCGTACTGTATGTATTGCTACTATTTTGTAATTGTAATGTAGATGTTTATTGCAATTCCTTGCAAATTCAGTGTGTGTATGAAAAAAAAGAGAGAGATCTGAAAGGATCATGCGGCAGTACCAACTACCTTTGAAATGAATGGGAATGCTAACAGACAGCTTTCTCCAGGAATTATTGACTTTCTTTAGTTCTTTCAAGACCACGTCAGCTAATTGCATTTAAATTTTTAAATGTGTTATTTGTGTTGGGGAGGTCCTAGAAAATAGTAATTTTCTAGAAGGAGTGCCACTGTGAAATGTTCACTGGAAGAAAGAGCAAAATAGATAGTCATTTGAATTTATATATATCTTGATATTCAGAGAAAAACGTTCTCTATTTTCTTATCTTTCTCTAATCTCTAACAGTCCCTGTCGATTCTCAGGTCAGCTTTTTTGACTTAAAGCAATCGTTCACCCAAATTCTGTCATCATTTAGTCAATAAAGTCATTCTAAATCTGTATGACTTCTTTCTTCTGCAGAACACAAAAGCAGATATTTTGAAGAATGTGTCATCTGCTTTTGGCCAGACAATAATAGTTAAGAGGGGTTAAAACAATTGTATGAAAACATATAAAAATAATGAAGCATTTTTCAAAATGTCTTCTTGATGACAATGGCGACACAATTGTAATTCTCAAATTGACTTGAATCTGAATCTGAAGAGTTGACCTGATTCACTCAAAAGATCTGATTCAAAAGAATGCTATGTTAATAAATCGGACATCACTACTTCTCATGAACATTCCAAAAAGAATTTGGGTGGATGTCAGGATTTTTGGTGACTTAAATTGCAAACTCAAGTTTCTGTCTCTGCCTTACATCCACCCACAACCTCCATCCACAAAATGGCCAGTATTGTGACTCCGTGGAGTAGTCTGTCCTCAGTGACCTCTGTGATCCCTTGTTCTGTTCTCCTCTCATCTGTGGCATACACTGTTAGTGGTCTTAACTAGACAGATCGATATCCGTGGACTCCCTCTTCTCACAGGGACTGCACAGCAGCTTCAGCCTACAGCTCGTCCACACACACTCACACTGACCTCTCTGAAAGAGCCCGGTATTCCTTTAATATCTTATGCCTACATGACAGGGCCAACCGATACATTTTACATATGCTGCGGCAATGGATTTGTTCTAAACAGTCAGTAGGCAGAGCTTTCAACATCATTAAATCAGAGAAAAAGACAAGGCAGCTTTTTTCACAGTTTACCTTCTTTCACACATTGATTGAGGCGTGGAAAATATGTGCAGATGAATTCAATTCACAGGCTTCAGTAGAGCCATTAAAAAGCGGATGTCAGGGACTGGAGAGACAGACGCCTAATCACTGTCATCTAAAATTGTGTTTAGAGCGTGAAAAGAGCGGAAAAAAGCTTTCATTCTCTCTTCAGCCAGGAAGAGTTCGACAAACCCAAGTCCTTCTGAGAAGAAACAATGTAGCTAATTCAATCGTGACAAAAGTCAAACTTTGTAAAACATTCAGCAGCTGTTTGTGTATGGTGCGCACAATTTAAATAAATCTCAAGACTTTGCATTATAGGGATATTTTTACTAAATTGAAAATGTATCCTCATATTGTTCCAAACCTGTATGACCTTCTTCTGTGGAACACGAAAAAAGAAATTGTAAAGAATTTGAACTGCTTTTTTAACCAGGGGTTGTCAAATTCCCAAAAGCAAAATTGAATTAATTTAAATATATATTTATTATTTTATACATTTAATGCAATTTATCCATTCTAATTTATTCTTTATTAATAATTGTATGGATGAGTAGCATGACAAATTTTTCCACACTTCTCTGTTTGTGTTCCATTGAATAAAATTAAAGGAATTGTTCACCCAAAAATACACATTTACTGAAAATGTACTCACCCTCAGGCCATCCAAGATGTAGATGAGTTTGTTTCTTCATTCAGAAACAAGTTTTGGGGAAATTTAGCATTACATCTCTTGCTCACTAGTGAATTCTCTGCAGCGAATGGGTGCCGTCAGAATGAGAGTTCAAAGATCACAGTAATCCATAAGCAATCCACACAACTCCAGTCCATCAATCAATGTCTTGTGAAGTGAAAAGCTTCATGTTTGTAAGAAACAAATCCATCATTAAGACATTTTAGCTTTAAACCGTTGCTTCTGGCGCTATAATCCATAATAATGCTTCCATAATAACGATCCCATGTTGTCTTCTCACATTAAAATCCACAGACATATTTGTTCAGAACTGTTTTGGACTGTTTTCACTTGTAAATGGTACATGATTTGTGAATATTTCTGTCCTGATTCAGACGAGATTACTAGAGATTACTAGAAATATTATTATGGATAGAGGACTTGATGGATTTGTTGATTACAAACATGCAGCTTTTTTCTTCACAAGATGTTAATTGATGGGCTGGAGTTGGTTGGATTACTTGTGGATTATTGTGATGTGTTTATCAGCTGTTTGGACTCTCATTTTGACGGCACCCATTCACTGCAGAGGATCCATTGGTGAGCAAGTGATGTAATGCTAAATGTTTCCAAAACTCTTCTGATGAAAAAGGAAGCTCATCTATATCTCAGATGGCCTGAGGGTGAGTAGTTTTTCAGAAAATGTGAATTTTTGGGTGAACTATTTTATTTAATAGTGGTTTGAGGGTGAGTATTGTTTTTTTAGTGAACTCTCCCATTAAGAGACAGATTGTCTCTATTACAAAATTCTCAGTTTTTAATTGGAGGAAATTTTGCCATTTGAACTTTAATCCCAGGTGTTGCCACACATCTTGTCGCTGTATTTTGTCTTCCTTCCTTCACACTTGTCAAAGTGACAGCACAGAGAGTGTGAAACTGTTCTGAGAACAGTATCCCGATTGAACCAATTAGAGGGACTCACCTGTTTCTTAAGAGAATTTGGTGTGAGGTGACATGGATTTAGATGAGTTATTACCTGTTGAGAGGTACACACCTCTATGCCAAGAAGAGACTTATTCTATGAAAGGGCAGCTTCCAGTCTAAGCAAGCTAAATTGTCAGACTTGAGCGCATTAGCCACAAATCTTGTAAATCCTCAGCTCTTTTGCAATACAGTTTTCATGTAGGGGTTTTGGCAGTGATACAGTTCACTGATGCATGTCTGTTTGATTCAGGGTAATTTGGTTTCCTCATGCACAATGCATCAAAGTTTGTGTTCACAAGAACTTTCAAATCACTCCTGTTCTATATATATATATATATATATGCACAATATTGCCAGTGCTTTTTCTCTTTTTCTCTCTCCTCAACCACTCCTAGTTTGTCCCAGGGTCACTGCTGTTTCTGAGGCGCAGTTATCACCTAAAGCATGATAGGGCCTTAAGATGTGTTGACAGTTGCTGGCAGGCTCCCACGCCCAGAGAATAAGCAGTCATTGGCTGAGAGATTGCATGGCCTGTGTTGTCAGTGTGATTCATAAGAAGTGAGGTGGAAGTGAGGACTGAGTGACGATCATGACAGGCACCACAGAGGTGAAGGCTGAGGACGCTTCCCGCTTGCATAAGCGTGTAATTGGGCAGCCTCTCTTTGTCTCTGGTCAAATCCCATCTGTCAACACTGATCTCTCCATCTCTCTGTCCAGCGGCCCATCTTCCTGAGCCATCCATTGAGAGTGACAGATCTCTCATTGAGTGCAGAACCCATAGAAAACTGGCACTGCCAATCAGGTCTACACTTACACTGTGATATTTACTGAGGGAAAAAAATGTATGGCTGGACTTGATTTTATCTATTCGGAATAATATGAGCTTGGGTGTTGCATATTAGTATAGAGCCAGACTAAATGTGATAATAATGCCTAAATACCTATTTGGCTATATGTTAACGTTATCCAGCCTGCGCAGTTTAAGTTACAGAGGAAATGCAAGTTGTTAAGATTAAACGTGATGTAGATTGTGAAAATAAACGTTATTATTATTTCTTCATTCTTTTCAATTTTTTTTGTTTGTGTGTGTGTGTGTGTGCACTCAAAAAAATATTTAACCCCAAAAGTTAAAACTCATGTAATTCAATTAAATGTCAATTTTCCATCCAATTTAATCGCATAAATCCAACGCAAAAGTTAACATTTATTTAAGCTTCACCCTTGTTCAGTTAATGCATAGTACGGTAAACAATGTGCTTTCTCCTGATCTATAACACAAGACACAAATGTAAATGGTCCCTTCTCTTCCTAAATATTTGTTAAAACAATTAAAAAACCAGGAACCTTAGAGAAAAATACAATAAAACCGTAAGTCGGTGATTGACTTTAATCAGATTCAATGTGGACTGATGTCACAACAATGTCTCTGGAATATTAAAAACGACATATGATTTGATTTTTGTAATGAAAGTACAACTCAGCATGAAAAGAATGCATGTTTCACTTCATGGACACGATTTGTTTTAACAGGACATCCTACAAACTTTTACATGCAACTTTCATATAATGTCGAGCATGTTTGAACAACGCTTCAGCATAGTTGCAAAGCATATTTATAGAAAAGCAAAATGTAACATTACGTCGAGATGGCTAAACTATTATTTAAAAAAAAAAGTAATAGACGCGTAATCTGCCTAAAAAGATGCACATAGTCGACCATATATATCTTAAAATGATCCAAGTTGCATATATTTGATAACAGATTTGATTTTACGCGAGATCCTAACGTTTACCGTATGTCGAGATGACACTGTTTAAAAAAAAATCATGCGTGATCTGCTTAAATGCAAAAATGATGCACATACTCGAATAGTAAGATAGTAAATTTTAAAATGATCAAGATAAGGTTAGCAGGGAAGGCCGAAAATATCTAACGTTAGTTCATTCGCCAAAAAGTTAAGGTAAATCAAGATCAATCAAATTATAAAAATAGTTTATGTTTAAGTCTACATCAATTATAAATGAAGAAAATATCTTACCTTGTATAATCTCATCTGTTCTTCATTAATCTTCCTTTCTACCGTTGAGTCACCGTCGTCGCGCCCTAGTCGACTTGCCGCCTTCAGTTTTAAAAAAAAAATCTAATATGCGCATGCGCAACATCTGCATTCGCGCTTTACTGCAACAAATTAGGTATAGTTTATGTAATTTTATCAGGTTGGTTTCGGATTCATTACGTTCATGTTGAGAAAGCGTAATTCGGAATAATAATTATTATTTTATACTTTTTTAAATATACTTTATTTATTTAAATTGTTTGCTTCATTTCAATTACTGGCAAGAATAATTTTTTTGTGTTTAAACAATGGCGAATTGGCGGAAGCAATGAAACAAGGTCTCATCTGTCTTATTCCTAAGAATTTAGATTTTAATGTCATTAACCAGACTTTCAAAATGAACTGGATCAAGAATGGTTTATCTAATAATGAGTTACCCTGGTTTTGGATCCCTAATTCTTCAAACGTTGCAGTGGCCTTACATTTTTATTGTCCTGTAACTTTAAGTGCAGTAAGTTACCTATTAAACTGTCAAATTTTCATAAACAAGCCCTAGAATCCTGGAAGATTGCTTTTAAACATAATTTCTCCCCGCACGATAACAGATTTGATTTTACGCGAGATCCTAACGTTTAACGTATGTCGAGATGACACTGTTTAAAAAAAAATCATGCGTGATCTGCTTAAATGCAAAAATTATGCACATACTCGAATAGTAAGATAGTAAATTTTAAAATGATCAAGATAAGGTTAGCAGGGAAGGCCGAAAATATCTAACGTTAGTTCATTCGCCAAAAAGTGCAGTTAGGGCAGTTAAGGTAAATCAAGATCGATCAAATAATAAAAATAGTTTATGTTTAAGTCTACATCAATTATAAATGAAGAAAATATCCTACCTTGTATAATCTCCTCATCTGTTCTTCATTAATCTTCCTTGCTACCGTTGAGTCACCGTCGTCGCGCCCTAGTCGATTTGCCGCCTTCAGTTTAAAAAAAAAAATCTAATATGCGCATGCGCAACATCTGCATTCGCGCTTTACTGCAACAAATTAGGTATAGTTTATGTAATTTGATCAGGTTGATTTCGGATTCATTACGTTCATGTTGAGAAAGCGTAATTCGGAATAATAATAATTATTTTATGCTTTTTTAAATATACTTTATTTAAATTGTTTGCTTCATTTCAATTACTGGCAAGAATCATTTTTTTGAGTGTGTGTGTGTGTGTGCATTAAGAAAGTAAATGGGGTCAGTTCTTATTTTATGTTGACTTTTAAGTTTGGTCAATATTTTGTCATTTCATATTCATTAAGTTTAGTCTATTTGACTGTGAATAAAATGACATGCAATACCCTTCCAAAAATGTATAAGATTATTTAAAATGATTTTTGCCATTATCAGCATAAATCCTTATAATTTCTTGCCATAAATGTATTAAATCAACATGCATTTATCAGAAATAATTATTTTCTTTTGATAAATTGTTTTTATAGCTTAATTTGGTCCTTTTTAACACAAAGTCATCACAAAATGATGATGATTTATACGGATATTGTCCAAAACACCGCTTTTAAAGCATTTCCAGACTTTTGAAAGGCAATGTAATTTACAGATGATAATGTGGAAAATAACAAAACAAATGTCATACTATAACATGTTTTCACCAACAGCTTATTTTAATTAAAATGGTTTAATTAATTGTTTAAAATATTTTCATATAGATAAAAAGAAAGCTTTGGTTCAAATGCAGACCTGCACTTTTTAAAACTAACAGACTTCGCTGTTCTCAGAGCTTTGGTACAGTGGTTCCACAAGTTTTTTGATTTGTTGCGGCACAGGTTTGAATCTCACATCCTGATATTTTCTGCTATTTTTTCACTCTCTAATAGTTTCCTGTCACTCTCCACTACACTCCCTGATTAGATTTCAAAAAGCACAAACATAAAATCAGAAGAACCCCATAAATATACAAATGCACCACTTCCAGTCACTTAATTAGCATTACATTCATCCGTGAGCATCTCAGGGCAGTCTTATGATGGAAACTCTGTGTCAGAAATGAGGTGAGTTTCCTGGCCAACTCATTTCCTGTCCACCTGTCATGTAGCCCTTTTCTGCACCACGTCACCCCGAACCCCCCACTCCCCCATTATTTTTCCATGTGTATCCCAGTCTGTTCTTTTTACTTCTGCAATTCCAGTGGCAAAATCAGTCCCCGCGCTGCTCTGCCGCGACTTTTTGGCGTCTGTGGCATTTACGAATAAGCAATGAATGTTTAATGCCTCAATTAATGTTAATCGTCACCCCGAGGTCTTGAAATGGTCTTTCTATTGAACAGAATGAGTCTGGCCTCTGGCTTTGGTGTGTTTGGATAATCGAGGGAATTATTCACTCTCCAGGGAGTAGATGAGTCATTACGCAGCGCACACACAACGTTGTTTTGATGTCATGCTACCGAAAGCACTTTATTCCGTAGTCCTGTTTTGAAGTGAGTTATAAAGCTGATCTGCTCAATTTATCTGGGGCAGAACGGCTACCTTGGGTATTAATGAGGAACTTTTTTTAAGACCTTTCCCTCAAAAAGAGGTAGAGATGGAGGCCTGTGGTACTGTACTGTCGCCCCATTTTATCCACAGTAGTGCCAATGAATAATGTAATAAGATATTCAGTTAGGGAAACGGGCTGAGGGAGTATCTCTCAGCTGAGGTGAATACAAAGCACTCGGTTCTCTGAATTATACAGAAAGAGTCCATAAAGGCCAGCAAGGAAGAGTGAGATGTTTTATCTTTAGGTTTATTCTTACTCTAAGCTTCATGTTTTATAAAGCACACAAGACAGAATTATGTAACATGCATGAACACATACTAAAGCACATAGTGACGTGCCAGCCTTGACCAATAGGATAACATGTGTCAGTAAGAAAATAATTCCAGATGGATTATTTTTTCCTTTGACCTTGCTGGTTGCTTTTAACCATAGTTTTCAGCATGATTGGTGAAGATACCTCTTCACATTTGTACTAAAAGATAAAAAGGATACAGCTCGGATGTAAATATGCAGCGACAGCAGAACTCTGATATGAAAGCAAATAGACTGTGTGTCAAAGCGATGATGGAAAGAAGTTGTGTAATTCATAATAAAGGTGGGAACAGAAGTATTATAACAGAGAACAAGTTCAATAAATACAGAGTATTTTAAATCATTTTTTGTAATAATAATAACAATAGTAATTATTATTATCATTATTATTATTAAGCAATAAACAATTAACCAAATAATATAGTTACAAATACATAAATAAACCATATTATGTGATTCATTAGCCTAATTGTGAGCTGTTTGAATCAAGGAGGTCTGTAGTACCTGAGAAAGCCCTTTGTTAGCATTTATATACTATATTTATATTTAAATGTATTTATATATGTATATTTTTATATGTATATTTATAGATTACAGATTTTAGATCTGTAACTCTATGACTCCGGTTTCTAACGTGTGTTTTTCTCCCAGGTTGGAACAAGCGTGTGGATTATGAACCTGGAACAGGCAGCAAGCAGCTCTTTTCCAAGATGCACCTGGAGACCTGTGATGGCCCTTTATCTTCAGTGCGAGCCATGGTGGAACTACAGACCAGCCATATTGGGAAGGGCTGTGACAGAGAGACCTATTCTGAGAAGTCTCTGCAAAAGCTCTGCGGTAAAGACAACTTCAGCAAAAATCTTTTATCAGTCAGTCCAGAACTTAATGAGTTTAATTCACAAACGTTCACATACTACAGGAATATGCAAAACAATTTGCTAGGCAATATGGATGCACAATATAATAGAATGTGTAATTTACGATTCAAAATTGGGCATGTAACAGTGGATAATGGATATCTAATTGTGCATGCACATTTCCCCTATTTTTTATTTAGATTACTTTTGCCATCATCTAACACACATTTAAAAATTTTAAGTGAGCACTAGAGTCACTAAAAGCATTAACAATGTAATAGCATAATGTTAAATGACATACTATATTATTATAATGTTATAATGTTGTGATGCCCAAATGCACTTGTAGCTACTAGCTCTTTTGCAAACAACTGATTTTAGTTTTAAAGGGGTCATATGATGCGATTTCAATTTTTCCTTTCTCTTTGGAGTGTTACAAGCTCTTGGTGCATAAAGAAGATCTGTAAAGTTGCAAAGACTAAAGTCTCAAATCCAAAGAGATATTCTTTATAAAAGCTAAGAGTCAACCACGCCTACCTAAAACGGCTCGTTCTAACACGCCCCCACATACCTACGTCACGATCTGGGAAGATTTGCACCAGCCCGGGGTCGTCACATGTGGTTGCCGCAAGCCCGCCGGATGCTCCTTCGTTGAATCCGCTGGCTGCGCCATTCTCAAACCCACCCGCCGCCACTCACTAAAGCCGGCCTCCGCTCACTCTAGCCCGCCATGTGTTTAGTTGTGAAAGCGAAACTACTTTGTTTGATCTTCCAAAAGAGGACGATATCCGGTACAGTATGTGGAAAATAATGTGGTTTTTTTTACCTTAAACCGCATAAACACATTTCATTACACCAAATACACAAAGTAATGTTCTTTTTAGCAACAACATATGACCCCTTTAATGTTTATTTTAAATTTATTTTGACAAAATCGTATAGAATTTTAATATCTGTCATTTATCAGTGACTCTTATTTATCATTTATCAGAGTCATAACATGAAAATAATCATTGGCTTATGAGTATGGGAAAGCATTTTAATATCAGTTCACCCCTCAATTCACCTAACCATATCTCAAGATTATTCCAAATATTGCATGTTCAACACATTTTTAAATGGGTCATAAAAATTTTCATGTATCTCAATAAATCTGCGAATTCCCCAAATGTGGGAATCTCGTCCACCAATTGGACGGCTTCCTTGCTGACAGACAACGGTCGAGACAGTGACCTCATCTTCAGATTTGATGGACGACAGGCGGCCAATATCCCAGAGTGGGTCGTGCCACAGAACCTGACAGATCAGTTTACCATAGCAACATGGATGAAGCACGGGCCAAGTCCTGGACTGAGAGCCGAGAAGGAGACATTGCTGTGTAATTCTGATAAAACTGGTGAGCTATGGTGACTCAGTAGGCATGTGTTAAACCTTTAAGGTCTCTCTCTCTATATATATATGCTTTGTTTTTGTTGTTTTGTAAATAGTGCTAAGATATTTTAGATTACGTCTACAGTTTCCTCATCTGGTGATCAAAACTAGTGTTGTTTTTGGCGGCCTGTTTTAATTTTAGTTTTAGTCTAGTCTTTGTGTGAAACTGTCATTTTAGTTTTTATTAGTTTTAGTCACGTTCATACTCTTTTTAGTCTAGTCAAGTTTTAGTCAACTAAAAGTCTGAGCATTTTAGTCTTATTTTAGTCGATGAAAACTATGACATTTAGTCTAGTTTTAGTGAATGAAAATTGTATTTTAGTCTCTTTTTAGAAATGCAGTTCTATTTAACCCAGTCAATATAGTATAAGTACCTAGTAGTATAGACGAAACCAAAATTTTCTTTTAGCCAAACTCATTTCAAACAAGGTTATCTTATTATATTATTGTTAACGTACCTTATAGACTCAAGAATACATCCATTCCAGACACGGAAGACGCTCTGATTTGAATTTACAACATTTATTTTACCAACCAAACATGTTAGAAGTACACACACATAAATTTAAATAAAGACGAACCCCGGCTGGCCGGCCATCGGTCCCTTTCTCTGTGTCAGACTTAACTATGTTTGTTGTCGTCTTCTAAATAATGCCGCGAGTGGGGCTTGAGGAAGTGGTGTCGCCTGCGTCTGCGCAGTGCGACCTGATGCAGCCCCTGAAGTGAGAAATACTGCAAAATAATAATAATAACGTGACTAAACGGGACGAAATAACGTTATAACATTTCGTTTCGTCTAGTTTTGGTCAATGAAAATGAAGAGACATTTTAGCATAGTTTTTATTTTGTAAACCACATTTAGTCTCGTTTTTATTCGTCAACGATATTGCATTATACATTTAATTATAGTCATCGTCACATGACCAGCATTTTCGTCTCGTCTCGTTTTCGTCACGTAATAAAGGTTCGTTGACGACGATATTTAGTCATAATTTTCGGTGACGAAAGCAACACTAATCAAAACATAGTTTGGTAGAATTGAAGAGAAGTTTTATCAGTACCAGACGATGCCCAGCAGCATTAGGGAGAGAGATTAAGACTATGGATTAGATCTGGATTAAAGAGTGGTTCAGAACACAATTCTCTGGAGGTTAAAGGGAAACTTTTGTCAGGAAGAAATGCAGCGTGACTGTCAGCGGCCAGTTCTCTGAGACCGAGTGGCTCTGATGGGGGCCGACTGCTTGGCAGGGCTCTTTCGAGTTCATTGATCCCAGGAGTCATGTTGAGTGGGTGTGAGACTTAATCAATTCAACATGCACTAAAAGCAGTCGAACGAGAGACATCGGGCAGGGGCGCAGAGGCAGCGTTGAGTTGAGTGGAGAGGGGCGCCATGTGGAGGAGACGTGGCAGCCACCTTGATCAATGAGAGCTTTCTGAGAAAGCGTGAAAGCAGTCCAGTCTTACTTAGAGTGAGGCACGTGATGGAGAGTGAAACGTGTCAGTAACACAGAAGAAAACACTTTAATACGAGTCTCAGATTGAATGGCAGCTCTCTCATGCGCATCCTGTTAGGACCTAGCATTGTTACAAGATGACATTTAGTTTTGAATGAAGCTGAAAAAAAAAAAACAGGTAATACAAGCTTAAGGTCAAAATGGTTTTTGGAATAAGGTTTGTTGCTGGTAGGTAGTTGTCACCATCTTAGCCAAGGCGGTCTACCAGCTCTAAACAGCCTGACAAAAGATGAAATTTTTCCTGATACCATTAAGCAGATAGCTATTTAAAAATAAATTCATTAATTAATAAATAAGCTAAAATTGCTTGGAATGGTAGAAGTGAATTTAGGCATTGCAACATTATAATGTACTGTACAATATGAAAAATGGATATTGATTTTGAGATTTGCTAAAGGTTATCTTTAAACAGTGTTATTAAGTTATTAGTGCTTTTAAATATCAACGTAAAGTAAGCATTAGATAATGGCAGTGGTAACCCCCAAAAAATAGAATCATAATATACATAATGTTACATAATATAATATATAATTAGTTTTCAGCTGCCATTACTTACACTAAAAAGAAAATAATCTTATTATTATCAATGTTGTGCTGAACAGTTGAAACCATGATACTTTTTTAGGATTATCTGATGAACAGAAAGTTCAAAATAACAGCATTTATTTGAATTATTTTTTAGTAATGATGTTAGACTTGCATATGATTTGTCAATTCATTCATTCTTTCAATGAGTAAAAAGTGCACATTTTAAGCTGTCAGTCAATCCATCCCTGACTGGAATGATTTCCTTTAGAGTTTCTGCAGAACCACGGTATCCGTTCATTTCTCTCTGTGTCAAGTCTTACCTCCTTGTAGTGTAATTTTTATGACTCAGACTTGTATAACAGTCTGGAGTTTTTCTAACATGACTATGCAGTTCAGACAAACTCTCAGAGCAAGGCATGGAAATCTATAAATGTACAGTAAATCTTTAATCGACATGGCGTTCTTGTTTTGCCAACCATTGTGAGTGATTTGTAGAAAAGTCCTTTTACAGTTCTAAAAAAAAAAACATCACTTATTTGCCCTGTCTCGCAGTATTTTTTGACGCATTTACATTAAGGCTTTTCTGTGTTTTCTTTTTGCAGAGATGAACAGGCATCATTACTCTTTGTATGTCCATAACTGCCGTCTGGTGTTTCTTCTGAGGCGAGACTTTATTCAGCTGGACTCCTTCAGGCCGGCAGAGTTCCACTGGAGACTGGAACAGGTGAGGAGCCCCCAGGGCACCTATCACACATGCACATCAGTATCACAACCAGCCCTCTGATAAACAGGACGGGGAAAATGCCACACGGATTGGGCTCCATTTATAGTAATCACATGTGAAGTGAAGTTTGCTCTGTATAATTTTCAATTACCTACTTTTGAATTATTCATTATCTGTGTGACTGATTTTTCCATTGCGACGAGTGATCTGTCACTGGTAAAATGATTATTATCAGAAGGACAAATTGGAAAGCCGACAAAAAATGCCGGCATGCATGTTTTCTCTCCCAGTGCTTATTTGGCTCATAATCCGGCTTGTTTGTGTTTGGAAACACCTTAATTTTCTCAAATTTTCAGCATTTCCCTTGGCGAACGTTGAGTGCAGACTAATCTTTTGATTGAGAGCACTAAATGGACTTTATATTTGTGTCACCGTGCCTCTCAACGCTTGCCAAGGGGAACAGAGAGCCCAGGTGAGACTCGTGTAATCAGTATGAAAAGGTCTCCACAGTAATGACCTCTTGCAGGGAACATAATAATAGTCCTTTGCCCACACCAGTCCTTAACAGCAAATTACACGCACATACACATTCTCACATCCAGATGTGCTCTAGCACAAGTGCAGCATCTCTGATCTTTCTGAGCTGCTGTTAATGTATGTGTATCTATTGAGTAAACACCCCGTATATATGTCGATGAAAGACTTTTTTGTCCTTTCCAAATGCACAGAACAGGTCGTTGGCTGAGAGGACTTTGATCAATAGTCCAGATCAATTACTGTAAGTAGGACTCTGGAGTTCAGGTTTTGGTCATAGTCCTGAAGCTTATGTGGGCCACAATTTTTTTCGCAGATGTTTTGATTAGCCAAACTAAGATGTGAGAAATTTGGCTGCGTGAGTAATATTACATTTGTTTTCTCACTGTGGCAGTTGTCTAGCATAGTGGTGAAAGATCTGGGCTGGTAGCCGAAAGCTCATACATTTGAGTCCCTCATAGGACGAGACATGAGCTTTGGCTGTTGTGCCCTTGAGTGAGGCACTTAACCTCAGGTCAGTCCAGGAGAATTGACCCTGTAAAGGGCGATTTGCAGTGACAAAGCAATTGGAAGTCATTGACTTTTAGCTGCCGTTGGAGGCAACATGAACAACAGAGACTCTTAGCGATACTAAAGTTCAACGTTATCCAAATATTCTGTGATGTGATGTGTTTTGCCTCATGATACACTTTAGCTGTTACTTGCTACTAGCAACCAACAGAACAGCTACTTGGCAACCCTGTTTAATCTCTGTGGTTGGTCGATTTACATGTCAGTCAGTCACAGTTTCTTCCTGTCCAGATTGGTGGTTCTTGGCCAGAATAATGGTTTGGCTACAAAACAGGTCATAAAAATATGATATTGTTTTACTAGGTAAGATCAATAACTTCAAAAATATTGATATATTTAAAAAAAAATATTAATATCTTTAAGAAACCTATATACACTACAATTTTAAGTTTTGGTTCTATACGTTTATTTTGTTGTTGTTTTTTAAAGAAATTAGTACTTTTATTCAACATTAAATTCATCAAAAGTGATAGTGAAGATGTTTATAATGTTACAAATCATTTTTGTTTTCAACTTTCTCTTCATCAAAGAAACCTGACAAAAATGTATCCCTTTTATATTTTTTCCACAAAAATATTAAGCATTTCAACTGTTTTTAACATTGATAATAATTAGGAATGTTTCTTGAGCACCAAATCAGCATATTAGGATTTCTGAAGGATCATGTGACACTAAAGTCTGGAGTAATGACTGCTGAAAAATCAGCTTTGTAATCACAGGAATAAATTACATTTTAAAATACAGTTAAATAGACAGTTATATTCAATTGTAATAGGGGTGCTCCGATTGATCGCTTTGGGTAGTTTGATCAGCGGTCTCTATGAAGGCCGAACTCATTGACCGATCTCAGACTGACGACATGCCTGCCGTGAGAGGTTTGGCATGACATGCAGTGGCATTGTCTCAATCTCTGTCCGGCGCAGGTAAAATCATTATAATGCTGAAGGTGAGGTACAATTTATATTTCTTTATTAAATAACTTACAAAGTCATTTGAAAACTTTCTGTGAGACATAATTTCACAAACAATGTGAGTGAAGCACCGCACGCTCTCTCTTTCCTTCTCAAAATGTGCGAATGGCTTCCAATCACCACATCGCATCTGCACTACAAGCGAGTTGCACAGTTGACACAGGAATTGTCACTTGCACAATCGAGGCAGTGTCGCATCGTCACTAAAGTTTATAATTTGCTTTTCTTTTTAAGTCTTGCCAGTGTTTAAACCATTCAGCACTTGCACTCTCCTAGAGACGGCGCGCTCATGCACACTCAAAGCGCACACACATAAGGCCGCCACACATACAGCTCACAAAATCAGGCTTGTGCTGTGTGTAAGCTACTGTGCAGCAATTGCCCCATCGTAAAAACAAAAATGCACTGCATGATCAAATAATTAGGCGAGATAATTGTATATTTTTGAAAAATATATATATAAAAAAAAAACTTTCAACCCTCAAATTAAAAAATACCCCCCCCCCATTAAAAAAAAAATTAATTCATCAATATAAATAATGCTTCATGATAAAAAGAAGGCTTCAAAAAGATTGGTATCGGTGATCGTATCGGCAGATGTTGACGATCACCAATCGGCTCCAGAAAACCTGATTGGAGCACCCTTAAATTATAATAATATTTCACAATATTCCTGTTTTACTGTGTTTACAAAAGCATAGTATAACAAACTCATGTGCATTCCTATTTTTTATATATTTTAAGTTTATACAAGTCATAATTTGTGTGTGTTTTTAACCAGCATATAATTAGTCCAGGGAGGCGTAGAGTCCATGTTGACTGCAATTATTGTGACAATAAACAATAAGCTCAGTCTGACGACTGGTTCTGCCTCAGTGTTCTTGAAGGCTATACTTAGTTTGTTACAGGTCAGAGGGAAAATGAGCTCCTTTCAAAGCTTCAGCTCCTTTCCTGTGGTCAGGCAGAGCTCAGCCAGGTGATGAGGAACACAAGTAAACAATATGAGGTCAGTAGAAAGGCTGCCATAAAACAATGTCAGCTGCAGAAGGAGCCGCGCTTTTACCTACAATCCTGTCAACATCCACCACTTGAAACTGCAGAGAAAAAAGACTCCATACAGCTGCTGGTTTGTGTTTTACCGATATGCTGTGATATTCTCTGTGTCTTTTTTGTACATTTATCTTTCGTGACCACTTTGTTGATTTTTGTTGGGAAGAGTATTTCTTTGCATCTGATATCTGCTTGCAAATGAAAGCGTGCGAAAATGAAGAGAGTGTGAGAGAAGGTGTGAATGTGCTTGTTTACACTTCAGTGCATTTTCTCTCTTCCTGTTTTCCCTGCCATGTACCTCTTTTCCAGCATGGTTTGATAATGGTGTCTCTCCAGCTTGGAGGCAGTAAACAGAATATGCTTGCCTTGATCTCAGAGCACAGCACAGCTCTGTTCCCGACATAAGACACATCTGTTTTTCTTTCTTTTCTCTCTGCCCTCCCTTTGACTACTTGCCACTGATACCTAAACAACAGATTATCCTGTTGTAAATGATGCCATAGTTAGTTTGGCTTTTATCTTTAATCCCAACAAACAAAGTTTTGACTCTTCTGCATAATGTCTTGTCCACTTTTCAGCTTGTTTGGGCCAAGAGCAGCCTATTTAGATAGGAAAAAACAAAAAAAGCGACCAGTGTGATGTTGTTGTTGTTGTTGTTTTGTGATATTTAGGAGTAGGTTAATATAAAATCTTTGAATTTTATCGTACTGCACTGCTTTTAATGTCATCAGACAGAGATTTTATTTAGAACGTTTTCTTAAGGATGTAAAATGTCAATAGGAAAACGTATAGAATTTTTATTCCAAGTAATAATTATTATTATTTTTGAAAGAAAGAAAGAAAGAAAGAAAGAGAAAGAAAGAAAAAATAATTGTATTCTGCAAGGATGCATAATGCTACAGAATATTTCTATTTCAAGAAATTTAAGCTTTGCCATCAAAGGAATTAATTACATTTTAAAATATATTAAAATAGAAAACAGTTATTGTAAATTGTAATAATGTTTCATTATATTACTATTTTTGCTATGTTTTGATTAAATATAAAAGCAGTCTTGGTGAACATAAGAGACTTCTTAAAAAAAGAATTTAAATCTTCTCAACCCCACACTTTTGAATGGTTGTGTAAATCACTTATCCCAACTTTCTATCCCTTGCCTTCTTTTTAATGTTCATTAAGTAGTTTAATTATTTTTTAACTGATTTTATCCTGTTCTGGCTATGAAAATAGCCTTAGATGCTGATATGGCATAGAACAGCCCAAAAATAGCATTTCCATCTGTCCAAAAGTAATACATACTAATTATTTCATTGAAATACTACTTAGAAAGCAAAGTGAAATATTCTGATTTTCTCATAGATATTTAGTTTACTTGCCACAGAGTGCTTCTAATGCCACTAACCAAATTTTGGCAAATCCATTCACTAGTTCTTCAACCCAGATCCTTATTTTCCAAAATTCAATGCCCCAAATGTCACAAAATTGAGCAAGTTCAGTGATTAGCCCATCCTCACAGTCACCAGTGCTCATTACAAGCAGAAACAGGAGGTTGCTGCTTGCAATTTTGACTAGATGTAGCCTTTTTATGTGATTTACATCAGATGGCAAGTGAATAGTACATGAGTGGCTGTTATAGGCTGAAATTATGTTCACGTTCAAGTTTTACTGTTGTATGACCCATAGATGCACAGATTGCTAATACCGTAATGTGAAAAAGTCAGATTACTTAAGGTGCTTGTCAGCTGAGTAGAAGGACGTGAATATGTTTGTGTCAATCAGGCCCTGTTGACAAGTCTGTAAGGAAGTAAGGGAAGGGCCGCAGGTGCTGTGTTGTATTTCTTTCACTATGGCGGTGTGCTGATCTAAGGCACCTAT